ATTATTTGAAAAGCAAGAATAGGTCATGAAATTTGAAAATTGAATAACCATAAAGCACCTCTACTTCTCCAAATTTTTTCACCATCATCTGGTATAAAACCCCTGCAAAGTATCCATCATCAAAAAATTGTCGCCGAGAGGAACCACATATCTAAAGCCCGTATCAAAAATCTTTGAGGTTTGGGGCTTATCGCTCTGAAAAACTACTAAAAATGGTCATTAAACAATTTCAAGTATGCAATGACCCAAAGCTTCTTGTGAATCCCACCAAACAGTATAAGAATGACACCAAAATTTGAAGCTAAAGGTTTTTAGCCACTTGCTACTATTTTCTAAAGTTTCGGGCAGATCGGCCACCGTTTTCGGGGGTCTCCTCTGTAAAGTTCTCGCCTCCGCCATGATCAACAACTATGGACCATATTACTTAAAAATTTGACTTTGCCATATCTTTGTACTCTGAAATTTTAATAAGCTGATCGTTAGGGGATATCTATCTTGTAATAATTTTAACCACAATTTGCATCAATTTGCATATGTTTTGACCTGCTTAAATCGTGCTGTTTTATTGAACATCCGATTATAGATGTGGGTCGAATTGACTCCAGAGCTCATAAAGATTTTATTTCTAGGATCCTCCAATACCCAAAATGACAATCCCTCAAATCTGGGCCCTCCATTGTTTCTCTTGTTTCCGACACCCACACCAGATTCTTATTGGTGCTAACCGTCTCACACATTTGCAATCCGTGGAGTGCATTCTCCATCTACCCTACTTTTCAAGAATTTTCCAGTACAATGAGGCTCAATTATCCCTCCTCCACTTTTAAGTTGGCCTTTTGGTATGCATTCATGTTTGGCTATATTTTTCACATACTCTTGAGAAAAGCATTTCTTGCTTATCACAACATTTGCTAGATTCGAATTAAGTGCTCAAAGCTCAATACTTTGACATTTTTAAAAAAGTCTTACTCAAATATTTATTTTAGAAAAAATTTCATATAGAACCCTAATTCCCCATATTATTTCATGATAGACCCTCTTTCCGTTTTGTTTTTCAAGCCGCATAAAGAAACCTCTAAATATTTCACTTCCTCTTTAATTGACTTTTGACCATAAAAATTAACCTCAACAAATCTTTTTATACCCTTTGAACTCAAAAACCTTTATTAACCCTCTTTTTCCCTTTCCACCCATTAAAAACAATTTTGGGTTGAAATGATATAAAAATATTTTTTTAAGTTAATTTTTATGATCAAAATTCAATAAAAGAGGGAGATAAGAGATGAAGGGGTATGGTGAAATCTTTAGGGGTTTCTTTATGCCGCTTGAAAGAAAAATGGAAGGAGAGTCTATTATGAAATAATATGAGAAATTAGAGTTCTATATGAAAATTTTCTTTTATTTTATGTCTTTGATTGCATAAAAAAATACAAATTCCTTTATTCACCTCAACGTTCATTATTGACAAAAATACCCCTTATGTTGACATTTTTTATAAATCATGAGAACTAGAGCATGTGAACTCAAACAACCTTATATTTGGTGGAGGGGCAAAACAAAAATATAAGCCATTTCCCTCATGTCACTCCTGACAGAAGCATTATAGAACACCATACTAGATAAAGTATGGCACAATACATGTGTAAGAGGGGAGGGGATGAACAGTATGCAACTCACTCAAGAACGTGATGATCGTGTGTGACTTCAACAACTCGATATGAGGACCACTATGCGCATCTTACCACAACTATTGGACACAATTGTAAACTAGTAAACTGAGTCGTCCGATGAATTATAAATAGATAACAAAGATAAACAAACACAATACCTATAAAAGGTAGTAATAGAGCATGGATGACCCTTTGCATGCAAAAGAAGTATTTTGTATCAAATCCATCAATAATCGATTAAATATAGGTTTTTTTTTGCTTCTCTGTTATATGAAACAGTGAATGTATTTAATAATATGTCTATATGCACCTTGGAACTTCTTAACCTATAAATAAAAACGCAGCTCTACGAGGCATACCCTGTTAGAGTACTGTTTGAAGTTGTCTTGAGTTGTTTCTACATCCATTCTCGCAATCAAAACAGTTCACCACATGTGAATTGTTGGGTATTGTGGTGGGAAGATACACCCAAACATTAACCCTCTCTCACCCTTGGATCCACCCACTCTGGGTAGACCTTAGGGTGATCTTTTCTCTCCCTCATGACCTCTTTTACTCTATCTCTCTCTCTCACTAGGGCCTTTCCCACTCTCTCTTACACCTTACTTTTCTCTCTCTATCTCTCTCTCTACAAATCTCTTTAGGAGCCTTCTCCCCCTCTTTTTCTCTTTCCTCCTCGACCCAACATCTAAGGGCGACCGTTATGTCTCAAATGTATGTTGCCTATCTTGAGACATATACCATGTTAGATATATATTTGTGTTTCAGGTGTAGTTTCAGTAAAGCGACTCTCTATTTTTTCTCTCTCCTCCATTTAGTATATTTCTTTCGTTGCCGTTTAATAGCTCTAGGTTTCTAATGGCAACATTCGAAACTAATATTTCATGTACTCATTTTTTTTTTAATGATTTGCACAGTCTTGATTAAAAAATAAATAAATTACATAAGCCTGGGGCCCTAAACAATCAAACCAAGATGCACCTCGAAAATTCACTAGAAAAAGCTGCTTAGATGTTAAAAAGTCCAATTATCTAGACCTTGAGATACTAGACTTAAGAAAAATGGACTTAAAATCTTGGAAATAGTGCATCTTGTAATGCATTATCTAGACTGTCAATTTTCAAGATTTTCTATTGGTCATTGATTTGCTTGATCTACACTATTTTTTAAATATTAAATTTTACAATTAGAGATGAAAATAAATGTTTAGGCCATCATAAATATTTTTGATACTGAAATAATATCGTTCGATACTATTTGAAGGTGCACTTTACTTTGATTGTTAAGGGCATCAGCTTTATGTAAACCTCACCCTTTTAAAAAGGGTCACATATGAGTTATGGCCAGGATATCTCAATCGCAAAATTAACTTTTAATATTTTTACGACAAAATAGGTAATGGATAATAAAAACAGGTAGTTTTCAGTTTTCCAAGTTATCAAACTATGGAAATTGACTGAACCAATCTTTCAAACATGTTGAATTAGATAAATTGAGACTTTTTTAGAATTTTAGGGATTTTCACAAATTCTTACAAAAGTTGGGGTAAAGGTTGACATAAGATGTGTGTGGCAAAAGTGATTTGTTAAATTAATGTATGGAAAAGTATAGGATGAGACAATTTATCTTTGATACAAAGTTTCACAATTAATCTTGACAGATGTGAAATTAGATGGTTGTATTTATTCTATTACCAAGCTCAAACTTCAAAGGAAACTTTTTCAAACTTTGTGACACACCAAAGCAATCAGACTTCACATTGGATGGTTGTACATAATTATGACCACCTTATATAAAAAGTAAATAGTCTCATTGTATACAATTCCTTAATTTATTAAGAGAAAAAACTTATGTGAAAACGTTATTTTGATGCTGGAAAACACTCCAATTGATCATATTAAGGTAACGAGAGAAAAAGGATTTCAAGTCACAAGAATAACACATCTTATAACATATTATCAATACTAACTATTTTTTAAATTTTCAAACATTCGCCTATTTGGCCAGCTTTATATAATGGGAAAAGTTTATATAGAGCTGAGACTTTAAATAATCAAATTAGAGCCTACCTCAAAAAATCACTAGAAGAGGTTGTTTTGATGCCCAAATATCCTCAAATTGATCATCTCGACATCAAGATGCATGGACATGATAAAAAAATGCATTTCAAGTTTTGAAAATAGTGTATTTTATAATGCATTTTTGGACCGTCAAGTTTCAAGATTTCCAAGTTTTTATAGATCTATTGATCTACACTATTTTTGAAGCTTTAAATTTTATAAATAATGGTGAAAATAATTTTAAGCCTATCGCAATGATTTTCAATATTGAAACCACATTTCTCGACACTATTTGAAGGTAGGGTTGAATTTGATTGTTTAGAGCCTAGGCTCTGTACAAACCGCACCCTTATATGATATGCACTTAATTTTAAAGCCTTGAATGTTACAATGGGAAAAATTTATACAGAGCCGAGGCTCTTATCAATCAAATTTGAGCCTACCTCAAAACTTTCACTAGAAGATGTTGTTTTGATGCTCAAATATCTTCAAATTGATCATCTCAAGATGTATAGACATGAGAAAAAACTGGATTTCAAGTTTAGGAAATAATATATTTTGTAATGCATTTTTAGACCATC